CGAGGACGACGACGACGACGGACGCCGACGACGGACGACGACGATCATGTGGACGGACGTCGGCGACGACGGACGACGACGACGATGGCGATGACGACGACGACGACCGACGACGACGACGATATCGACGGACGACGACGACGATGACGACGACGATGGACGACGACGACGACGGATGGCGACGGCGATATCGACAAACGACGTCGGCGGACGACGACGACGGACGATGTCTGCGGACGACGGTGGACGCCGACGGACGACTACGACGATGTGCACGGATGGCGACGATGTCGACGGACGACGGCGACGGACGACGATGACGCCGACAACGACGACGGACGACGCCGACGATTTCGATGTCGACAATGACGACGACGGCGACGACGACGAACATGTTGACGGGTGCCGACGGCGTCGACGACAACGACGGCGATGTCGATGGACGGCGATGACGACGACGACAACGACGACAGTGTCTACGGACAACGACGATGACGGACGACGACGACGATGCTGACGGACGACGACGACGACGACGACGACGGGCGGCGACGACGATGACGGCGACGATGGTGTCGAGGGACGGCGATGGACGACGACGCCGGCGATGTCGACGGACGACGACGACGGCATCGACGGACGGACGACGACGACGACGACGACGACGGTCGCCGGCGACGACGACGGAAGATGCCGACGGGCGACGGATGACGATGACGATGTCGACGGACGACGACGACGACGACGGACGACGGCGACGATGACGACGACGACGGATGGCGACGACGATGACGACGGACGACGACATAGGACGACGAAGAAGACGACGATGACGACGACGACGACGGACGACGACGACGACGACGACGACGACGACGACGACGACGGACGACGGACGACGACGACGACACGGATGTCGACGGCGATGTCGACGGACGGCGGCGACGACGACGACGGACGATAACGACGGACGACGACGACGACGACGACGACGACGGACGACGACGACGACGATGTCGACGGACGACGACGACGGTAGACGACGACGACGATGACGACGACGGACGATGGACGACGACGACGATGTCGACGGACGTCGACGACAACGACGACGACGAACGATGTCGACGGACGACGACGGCGACGACGCACGACGACTGCGATGTCGACAGACGGCGACGACGACGAGGACGATGGACGACGGCGGTGATGTCAACGGGCGACGACGACGACGGACGACGTCGACGGACGATGCCAGCGACGACGGACGTCGATGATGTCGGCGGACGATGACGACGACGGCGACCACGGACGACGACGACGACGACGACGGACGACGGCGACGACGACGGACGACGACGCGATGACAACGACGACGACGACGAAGGGCGACGACGGCGCATGGCGACGGACGACGCCGACGACGACGACGACGACGGACGACGACGGCGAGCGCGGCGACGACGACGACGTCGACGACGGACGATGTCGACGGACGACGGCGTCGACGGCGACGACGGACGACGACGACGATGTTGACGGACGACGACGACGACGGACGATGACGACGATGTCGACGGACAACGACGACGACGCTGGACGATGTCGACGAACGACGGCGGCGACGACGACGACGGACGACAACGAGGATGTCGACGGAGGACGACGACGACGGACGACGACGACGACGATGACGACGACGATGTCGACGGACGACGACGACGCTGGCGATCGACGACGACGACGACGGACGACGATGACGATGACGACGACGATGATGTCGACGGACGACGTCGACGACGACAGACGATGACGACGATGCCGACGGACGACGACGACGTCGACAGACGACGATGACGATGACGACGAACGACGGCGGACGACGACGACGTCGACGGACGACGATTACGACGGGCGACTTCGACGATAACGACGTCGACGAGGAACGACGACGACGACGACAACCGCCGACGATAACGACGACGGACGACGATGATGATGTCGAGGGACGGCGGCGACGACGACGGCGACGTCGACGACGATGTCGACGGACGACGGTGACGATGGACGACGACGGCGACGATGACGACGACGACGGACGACGACGACGATGATGTTGACGGGTGACGACGATGACGACGACGACTGACGACGAGGACGACGAAGATGACGACGACGACGAACGACGACGACGATGTCGACGGACGGCGACGACGAGGACGGACGACGACGACAACGACGACGGACGACGACGACGACGTCGACGGACGACGACGACGATGACGACGATGACGACGACGATGTCGATGGGCGACGGCGACGATGGACGACGGCGACGACGATGACGACGACGGCGACGGACGACGACGACGATGTCGACGGACGACGGTGCTGGCGACGACGGACGACGACGACGACGCTGACGACGACTTCGACGATGTCGACGCGATGTCGACGCACGACGACGGCGATGACGACGACGGACGACGACGACGATGACGGCGGACGACGGCGACGACGACGACGACTGACGACGACGACGATCTCGACGGACGACGATGGCGATGACGATGTCGACGCGCGACGACGGCGATGACGATGACTCACGACGACGACGATAATAACGACGATGTCGATGACGATGTCGACGCGCGACGACGGCGATGACGACGACGAAGTCGACGGACGACGGTGACGACGACCACGGCCGACAACGAGGATGTCGACGGACGACGATGACGACGGACAACGACGACGATGTCGACGGACAGCGGGGACGACGACGATGACGACGACTGACGACGACGACGATGTCGTTGGGCGACGACGAGTGCGACGACGACGGACGGCGACGGACGACGACGACGCCGACTGACGACGACGACGATGTCGATGGACGGCGGCGACGATGACGACGGACGACGACCACGGTGTCGACGACGTCGACGACGGACTACGACGACGATGTCGACGGACGACGGTGACGATGGACGATGGACGACGACGACGATGACGATGACGGCGACGACGGACGACGACGATGTCGACGGACCACGATGGCGATGACGACGGACGACGACGGCGACGGGCGCGGACGACGACGACGACGACGGACGACGACGACGATGTCGACGGACGACGACGGACGACGGACGACGACGACGATGTCGACGGACGACGACGACGATGCCGGCGGACGACGACGACGATTCCGACGGGCGGCGACGACGACGACGGACGACGACGACGTCGACGGACGATTATGACGACGAAGGACCTCGACGGCCACGACGACGACGACGGGCGACGACGATGTCGACGACGACGACGATGACGACGGACGACGATGTCGACGGACGACGGTGACGACGACGACGGACGACGGCGGACGACGACGACGATGTCGACGGACGACGACGACGACGGCGACGACGGACGACGATGACGTCGATGGCGACGACGACGGACGACGACGACGATAGCGACGGGCGACGACGACGACGGACGACGACGACGATGACGACGATGGCGACGACGACGGCGACGGGCGACGATGACGACGCCGATGGACGACGGATGACGACGACGACGATGACGACGGAAGACGACGACGGACGACGACGACGGACGACGACGACGTCGACGACGGACGACGGCGACGACGGCGATGATGGCGACGACGACGATGACGACGACGACTTCGGACGACGACGACGATGACGACGACGGATGACGACGACAATGACGACGACGTCGACGATGACGACGACGATGTCGACGGACGACGACGACGACGATGGCGATGACGACGAAAACGGACGACGACGACGACGGACGACGGACGACGGGCGACGACGACGACGACGGCGACGACGGCATCGGACGACGACGACGACGGCGGACGACGACGACGACGACGACGGACGGCGACGGACGGCGACGAGGACGGGCGACTGACGACGGACGACGGACGACGGACGACTTACGACGACGGACGACGACGACGACGACGACGGACGACTACGACGGCGATGACGACGGACGACGGGCGACGGACGACGGACGACGACGGACGACGGACGACGGTGGACGACGGACGACGGACGACGACGACCACGACGATGGTGATGACGACGACGGCGGACGATGACGATGCTGACCGACGACGACGACGGCGGACGATGACGCACGATGACGACGATGACAACGGACTTTGGCGAAAATGTCGACGGACGACGACGACGACAGACGATGACGGCGAGACAATCACGACGACGACGGGCGACGACGACGACGCCGATGGACGACGGACGACGGCATCGGCGACGACGGCGACGACGACAACGACAACGACTACGACGGACGACGACGACGACGCCGATGGACTACGGACGACGACGACGGACGACGGTGACGACGGACGATGACGACGACGACGACGGCGACGACGACGACGGACGACGGACGACGGCGACGACGACGACGACGGACGACGGACGACGGACGACGGACGACGACGACGACGACGACGACGACGACGACGGACAACGGACGACGGCGACGACGACGACGACGGACGACGGACGACGGACGACGGACGACGGACGACGGACGACGACGACGACGACGACGACGACGGATGACGGACTGCGGACGACGGACGACGGACGACGACGACAATGATGGGCGGCAGCGAGCGATGACGACTCCGGCTCCGTCGTCGACGACCACACCACGGGCTGCGGCGGCGGCCGGGATCGGCAACCCATGGCGGCGGCGAGAGTGACGGCGACGTCGACGTCGATGCAGAGGGCCTCGCGGCGACGACCGACATGAAGACGACGGGCGGCGACGAAGACGGCGACGGCCTCGACGACGACGGCGGCGATCGCGACGACGACGAGGACGGGCGGCGGCGGCGACGCCGACGTCGACAGCCTCGACGACGACTGGCTCCGAGCGGGCCGCGGCGGAGCCCGCCGGCGCCCGCCCGTCAAGAGGCGGCCGGCGAGGCCGAGGGCGCGGCCGCCGAGGTCTGCAAGGCCGTCCGGGCCGCGGGCATGAAGGCGGCGCCGCGGCGGCCGGTCGGCCAGTCGTCTCCGTCGGCTCGTCGCCGTCGTCGGCGCGGCAGTCGTCGCTGCCCTCGCCTGTTGCCGCGTCGGCATCGGCGTCGGCGTCGGCGTCGGCGTCGGCGTCCCTGGGCGGCGTCGCCCTCGGCGGCGGTCGGCGCCGTCGGCGCCGTCGTGGATGTCGCCGCCGCCGTCGAGCTTGCCGCTTGCCGCCCGCCGCCGAGGAGCCTCAACATGCACAGCTGCCTGATTCGTTCGTCCCCACCTCCCCCCTCGTCCCCTCAGGGAGGAGGGGTGGAGAAGTGGGGACGCAGGGGAGGGGGGAGAAATGGGGAAGCGAGGGAGGGGGAGCGAGGAGAAGGGGGGAAGGGGGAGGGGAAGCGAGGGAGGAACGAGGGACGAGGGAGCTTCCTCATCCCTCACCCCTCCCTCGCTTCCCCTTCTCCTTCCCCCTCTCCCTCGCCCTCCCGACCCCTCCGCCCGCCCGTCCTTCTCGATCTTCCCGCCGCGCCTCCCGCCCCGCCCCGCCTCCCGCGGCCGGCGAGGCCAGGGGGGGGGGGGGCAGTGAGAAGGAGCGGGCCTTCTCCGATGGCTTGGAGGTGCCCTGGCCTTCCGAGGAAGCCTCCGAGCCCGCCCCGAGAGGCGCAGAGCATGTCCTCCTCGGAGGGCGCGAGAGGCCTCCGAGAGGCCCCGCCGCCCTCCGCGAGGGCCTTCTCGTTCTCTCTTCCCCCCTCCGCTCGCCGCCGAGGTGGGCCGCGGCGCGAGGCGCCCAGGGCCCGCAGAGCTCGCCGTCGCTCTGATGCCGGGGCCTCGCCGCCCTCCGCGCCGCCCTCGCGTCGAGCTTCCCTCCGCCCCGCCCTCGCCGCCCTCCTGGCCAAGGTACCCCTGCCCCTCTGCAGGGGGAGTATTCTAAAGTAGTCCAAAAACAGGCAGGGGACTATTCTTTGGATATTTCATCGCTTCGCTCACTCCGCCGGCCCCCGTACTGTGTCCTCGCTGGCGTTTGGGCTTTTGGGGGCCTTTTGGGGTCCTCGTTGGGGGTTCTTGGGGGCCTCTTGGGTTTCTGTTGGAGCCTCTTTGGGGTTTCTTGGAGCTCCTTTGGGAGCATTTGGGAGCATCTTGGGGCTTCTGGGCGCCGCTTGGGGCCGAGGGCTCGATATGTCCGTTCCGGTTCCCACTTTGGGCCTCCTCTTTGGGCTGTCCTGGTGCCATCTTGGGCCGTGTCGGAGGCCTCTTGGGCCGTCTTGGAGGTCTCTTGGGCTGCCTTGGGGCGATATTGGAGGCTTCTTGGGCCGTCTGGAGGCCAGGTCAGGCGTTGTGGAGTAATATTGCCCTTGGTGGAGGGCTCTAGCTGGGGCCTCTTGGTGGCCTCTTGCGGGGGGACTGTTTTTGGTATATTTTTGGGCATCTTTTGGTTACGTTTCGGAATATTTTTTATTGAATCGCTTCGCTCATTCCGCCGGCCCGTGATATGGCATCGCTGGTTTTTGTCTGTGTGTTCGTTGCCCATGTTGCGCTCTTGGGGGCGGGTGTCGTTCGGACGCGTTGCGTGGGGAGTTTTGATGGTGAAGCAGTTCCCTGGGGGTCGTCTCTCGATGGGGCGAAATAGAGTCGTCGTCAAGATGCTTCTTTGGGGGGCCTCTTGGGGTCTGTTGAGAGGCCGTTCGGGGGCGCCTGGGAGACATGTTTGAAGCCTTCTGGGGCTTCTTTTGGGCCTCCTGGGAGTCTCCTGGGGCCTCTTGGCGACATCTTGGGGCCTCTTGGAGGCCTCTTGGGGCCTCTTTGGGACCTCCTGGGCGCCTTCTGGGACGGAGGGCTCCATTTTTGAGTTCTCGGTATCCCTCCTGAGTCCCTCTTGGGCCCGTCTTGGGGCCTCTTGGTCCGTCTTGGGCGGCACTTGGGCCGTCTTGAGGGCTCTCTTGGGTCGTTTCGGCGCCGTCTTGGGAGCTTCGTGGGCCGTCTTGGAGCGGTCTTGGGGGCCTCTTGGGCCGTCTTGGAGCGTCCGGAAGCCGAAAAAGCCAGAACACAAAAAACATCGAAAAACCAATGAAAATCAACGATTTTGGCCTCTTGGGGCTCTCTTCGGAGGCCTCTTGGAAGGCTCTTGGGGCGTCTTGGAGGCCTCTTGGGCTGTCTTGGGGGCCTTTTGGGCCGTCTTGGGGTCATCTTCGGCGTCTTCGAGCGCTCTTTGGGCGTCTCGGGGGCCTCTTGGGCAGTCTTGGGGGCCTCTTGGGGCACTCTGAGCGCGCTCTGGGGAGCCTGAGAGGCCGCACCCAGAAGGAAAACCATCTCTGAGTAGACTTGGTCGGGCGGCGGTCGGGCGGCGACCGGGCGTTGGTCGGGGTACTTTTCGCCGGGGGACCCCCAGGGGCCGCCCCGCGCGCGCGAACTAGAAATACTGTTAATACTGTTAATCAGTTACCGGAGATCTTAGCACGCCCTGGCCCGTTGGGCCGGCGAATTATTCGTCCAAAATGCCCCTGTAGGGGGACAGGCCCGACCTAACGTTAGTGGAGTCCCCGTTAGAGGGGCGCTGAGCGAAGAACCTGGCGCTGGTAGACTTCGGAGGCACGAGACTTAGCGGGCAGAGAACGGTATCAACAATGTGTTGTTCCGTCGCTGGGGGCGCCTGTCCCAGGGCGGCTGGAAAGGGTATGCCCTGACGTGCCACCGTAGGGGTGTGACTTTTCCAGCCGCCCTGGGACAGGAACCCCGACGACAAAACAGTTTCTTTTATACCGTTCTTCGCCCGCTAAGAAATGCAAGCACGTGGCTACCATATATATATATATATATATATATATATATAGATACAGACTTCCGAAGTCCGCGGCCAGCGAATTCCCGCCAGCGCTGGACCCCTTCCCCACCCCTGGCGGGGTACTTAGCGCGCCCAGGCGCCAGCGGGAAGCTGCAGTCCGCGCGCTTCCAGAGTGTATGTGTGCAAGCGTGTTTTCCGCCGTGCGAGCGCCTGGAGGTCTGGCACGGTTGCGCAGCCAATGTCAGGTTACCAGCCGAGAGCCTCGCAAACAGTCGAGGAGGTCAACGCACTGCGATGGGCGAAGCGTCGCCCTAGCAGCTCCTGACCTCGCGTTAGGCCTCTTGCTGAAGTACGCGCCGCCGCCGAGATGGATCAGACGGCTGCCTTCAAACTACCTCGCCCGGACAACCATGGCTCCTTTGTGTGCGGCCACAGTGCAGACCCCCCTTTGGGACCTACAATGTCCGCCGTTCCAAGCAGAGGAAGTTTGCTCGTCTGCGGCCCACTCGCGGCAACGATGCCGCTTCGCCGGCGGAGGCGCAAACAATGTTCGACCATCCTGGCAGCGGCCTCGCCCTGCTCTCTGGAGGGCCGCCGCCAGCGGCAAATCGAAAGGGAAAGACATGTCAGGCTCCCTCCCTCACCGTGGGCTTCTGGAGCGAGATCCAGCACTGTCAAGCACGGTAATTAGGAAGGACTCGACGGGTCATCCAGACTGCCCTTGCACTCTTGCCCAATCAGCGCATCCCTGTCCGATCTGCCCGTCCTTGCCTAGCTGGCCCATGCTTGCCCGTACGGCCCAAGGGTCTCGCACCCTTGCCTTGCGTCCTCGATGCCGTGGTTGGCTGTGGATGGGGTGCTCCTACGCGAGAGCCAAGAGTTGGGAGCGGCGGCAAAAACACGAGGAGCCAGGGGCTCTCGCGGCCGCCCGTGGCCAGGTGGGCGTGGCGCTGAAGCCGGGGACGCCCTACAGCGTGGTAGCGCCCTTTGTGGCCCTGGTGGACATGGTTCTCAGCGGGGCAAGGGGAGGGGGAGGAGGAGGAACATGAGGGTGGTGATGATGCTGACCCGTGTGCCGGCGGCTGTTCGTCCAAGTGACCTGCATGACAGCCCTGTTTTGACTCTTCCTGGGGCCTCCATCGAGGTCTCGAGCGCGCGTCCCGAGCGCAGAGGGGAATCCGTCCGTCAGGCGCCTGAGACGACTCCGTGATGATGACAAGAGCAGCAACAGCGATGACGACGACGACGACGGACGACGACGGACGACGACGAAGACGACGGACGACGACGACGACGGATGACGACGACGACGATGATGATGATGATGATGCTGATGATGATGATGATGATGATGATGATGATGATGATGATGATGGCGATGATGATGATGATGATGATGATGATGATGATGATGATGATGGAACTTGTGACGGTGCTGACGATGGTGATGGTGGAGATGATCGTTGTGATTGAGATGGTGATGATGATGGGGATGCCGATGGTGTCGACGGTGATTATGATGATAATGATGATGGTGCTGGTGATCATGATCATCGTGGTGTTGACGGTGGTTACGATGACGATGCCGAAAACGACGACGACGATGACGATGAAGATGGTGATGGTGATGATAATAGTGGTGGTTGTGATGGTGATTGTAATGACGGTGATGGTGATGGTAATGGTGATACATATTCTGCAAAGTTATGCGGTTAAAGGGCACGAGCTCCCCGATTGACTGCTCTAAGTGCGATGAGAGCGTCCCTGAGCGACGTTGTCCGAGCTCGATGCCGCTTCGAGACGCCTACCACAGCAACAGCATGCGGCTAGACAAGTACATGGAGTGGGGTTCATGCAGTTGACCTCGTATTGCGTTGCGCAAAAACTCGATGAGAAGGGCGGCCTGCATGACTCCCGGGACCCAGCCGCACAGAGGCTGCAGCTAGGCAGCCTCGCACACGAGGTCCTCGATGGCCTCATCGAAGATCCCTGAGTCGACCTGGATAGCCTTCAGCCGAGCCACACCCAGCGCATGCACCGCCCGTGGCATTCGCATGCATTCCTTGTGCTTAGCGCCGGCCGCCGCGAAAGGGGAAGATCCGAGGCTGGGATTTGTCCATAACCACAGCCCGGGGGATCGATCTTCGCGGACCTCCACGGGCGGTGAATA